AGTCAGATCTAACTCACAGCAACCATTCCTTGGGTTTCCAAGGTGTTATCACTATGGAAGTAGATTGCCCAACCTTCCTTCTGAGGAGTGGCTGGTGGGTTTGAACCGCCAGCCTTCTGATTAGCAGTAGGCACTATGCCACCAGAGCTCCCATTCATCCATAGTGATAAAAATAAATAATTAGAACAAATAATAATAATTGAATGAATGAATGAATATGGTAAAAGGGATAGCTTTTTTTTCACAAAATAATTCCAATGAATAAATATAAAAGTAACGAAGAAAATAAAAAATCACCATTAGGCAAACACCATCATAAAAACTGTTATAGGCAAGATCCACTAAATGATGCTAAAATCAGTGGCTGAAAGTTTGAGGAGAAACAGTATAATTTCAAAGTATCTTCCACAAGATCTTCATTAAATCACAAAAGGAAAGATAGTAACTCTAGAGTGGAGAAATCTAGCGGACACCACATTAACCCAGATCAAGATTAATAAGTGATCAAGATCAATAAGACATCATGTCCCCGCAATATGATGTATTGAGAAGAGCAATAACATCACTTCTGTGTTATTTTTCCCAAAATGCATAACCTCAATCTAATCATGAGAAAACATCAGACAAGCCCAAATTGAGGAACATTCTACAAAATACTTGACCAACACTCTTCAAAAGTCTTTCATAGAAAGTAAAGAATGAAAAATGGTCAGGCTGAAGGAAATTAAAGGTCAAGACAACCTAATGTTATAAGGAACCTTGGCTTACATTATAAATAGAAAAAAGATATTGGAAGAAAAACTAGATGACATTAGAATAAGATTTATAGTAGAGTTCAGAGGCCAACAAATAAACTCTGACCCACAGATCTAATTCAACCAACCACCTGTATTTTTAAATAAAGTTTTATTGAAACACAGCCATAGCCATTTGTTTGCATCTGTTGCTTTCTTGCAAAGGCAACATTGAATAGTTGTGACAGGGGCCATAAGGCCTACAAAACCTAAAATATATCTCAGGGACAGGAATGGGATGACGCAAATTGAGCACCCAAGGCGCAAAATTTAAAGAAGCACTCACAGTCAGGTTTCTGCCCTTGGACCATCCTCAGCGTGAGTTCCTCCTTAAATTTTACATCCTAGGTGCCCCATTTGCTTCATGCTATAGTCCTTTTGGGAGCCTAAGGCACTTGACTGCTAACCAGAAGGCTGGCAGTTCAAACCCACCAGCCACTCCTCGGAAGGAAGATGGGGCAATCTACTTTCGTAGTGATACTGCCTCAGAAACCCAAGGAGGGGTCACTATGAGTCGGGTTCAACTCGACAGCACATAACAACAAGAAGATAGTCCTTTTATTAAAAATGTTTGCTGGCCTCTGATTGAGTTAAGAATATTATATCAATGTTAATTTTCTTGTTTTGATCATTTTGCTATGGTTAGGTACAATGTTAAGGAGCTCTGATGGTGTAGTGGATAAGGCACTTGGCTGCTAACTAGAAGGTCGGCAGTTCAAACCCACCAGCCATTTCATGGAAGGAAGATAGGGCAATCTACTTCTGTAAAGATTTACAATTTCGAAACCCAATGAGGGTCACTATTAGTTGGAATCAAACAGTGAGTTTGGAGGTACAATGTTAGCCTCAGGGGAAGCTGGGTGAAGGGTATACAGGAAATCTCTGTACCATTTTCACAACCTTCGTGAAAGTCAAAAACTATTACAACTGAAAACTTATTTCAAAATAAAACAGAACATGAGCTATAGAATATGATAAATATACAAATTTATAAGTGAATAGTATCACTGTGAGGCCAAAACAAGAGCCTCAATCAGAACAGAAGTGAGAACTAGCAGGAAAAAAATAGGTATTTCCATTTATCTGGGTTTGTGTTCAGTTTTCAAGCCCAATACATTGACATGAAGTTCTCTTATTATTACTACTGAAATAGTGACCAAGCATTAAAATATCAAATAAGACCCACACAAGGGAGGATAATGCCTTAGACACCCAGTGTGTGGTATATACAGCAATAAGAACTTACCAAAACCTACTGCCATCAAGTCAGTTCTGACTCATAGAGACTCCCATAGAGTTTCCAAGGGTATAAATCTTTACAGATGACCAGTTGATGGGTTCAAACCCCACACTTTTTAGCTAGCAGCTGAATGCCTTAACCACAAGGCCACCAGAGCTCCTTAATAATGACTTAAGAGGGTTTTATAACCTATGCCCTTTGTGTATGATCCGATATAGGGAGAAAAAGCTGAGTGACTTGGGATCACACTTTAGTAAATTTTTTTGAAATGGGGAGTATGTTGTTTTCCACGCAACAGATGTAAGATGGGAGAATTGTCTCATTGCTTATACTCATGATTGTACTTTCAACTTGTGAAGGCTGATTTTTTTAAAAAGCCTTTAAGAATAAAAAGCTTTAGAATTACTATACTATAGTCATTAGAAAATAAGAAATTTTACTTTAGTTTAATTAATTTTCAACACAAGCTTTGAATTATAGAATTATACACCAAAGCAAGTGTCTCAATACTATTGTTATATGTTGAACTAAAAATTGAATCACTTTGAAATTACAGCTGTTAAATCACTTTTGAGTATAAAGCATTCTGGTCCATTTTAGAGCACCAAGTCAAGGGATATTTGCAGTAAAGTAAAATACAAACATCTTCCCAAACATGCCTTCCAATACAAATCAAGAAAACACTTAAATATTTATTTAAATAAAATATTTGAAATGGGAAGGATACACAGAAAAAGAAGAGAGGGAATGTACGTATAAAAAGATGTGACAAATTTGTCAGAGGTCATTTGTTGTAAATAAATGATTGTTATCTAACATGCTATGCCACTGACAGAATCCATAATAAGTCCAGGAAAAAAGGAATGCTGAGACAATGCTTTTGTTTTCCTTTTAATATATGCCACTGTACATGCGGAGAAGTATAACCATAACTGGTAACCATGAAATGACACTGTTATAAACATTTTAAATAAACAATAGGATCATTTTTGTGAGTCTATCCATGACTAATTCTCCTTCTTTGGAGACTGAAAAGACAATTAATTAACCTCGCTACAAAAGACTGACTAAATGGGTCAAAATATTTATTATAAGAAAGTAACTTTTAACACATCATGAACCATCATGACAATATTTTTAAAGAACACAAATTGTGAAACTTAACAAATCCAATTATTTTCCTTTGATTTTAACTAGTTCCACTAAAAATCATTTGGCAGTAGTTTAATCCAAAGTGTGAGTAATACATATAGTAGAAATGCTGATAGCCTTTCTTGACTGCTAAAAACTAATCACCATCAAAGTAAACAAGAGTAACATATTATTCTAAAGGGAAATGTAAAACTAAAAGAAGATTATAACATGTTCTAGTGTTTTGTGTTTTTGAACTTCAGGGTATCTAGGATACCTTCCACAGCATGATGAAGATAGAAGATAGAAATTTTAATCCTCTCTGTCCAACATGGCAAGCTATTTTCAAAAGAAAACTAAGTAAATGTTATTACTAAACTCCTGCTGTTTTGAAACAAGGGTAACTATAAAAATATTTTGCTTTTAGATATTAATAATTCTGGTTTAATAATAAAACATACAAAATACCTATTTAATAAGTATTAGTCATCAGATTTCATATTCATTGCAGCAGTATTTAAAACATGTTGTTGTTGTTGCTATGTGCCATTGAGTTGGACCCGACCCATAGCGACCCCTCCTTGGGTTTCTGAAGCAGTATCACTAGGAAGTAGATTGCCCCATCTTCCTTCCGAGGAGTGGCTGCTGGGTTTGAACCACCAGCCTTCTGGTTAGCAGTCAAGTGCCTTAGGCACTATGCTACCAGAGCTCCTATTTAAAACATAGGAAAACTATAAATGAAATAAACATTTAACAATAAGAGAATAATTAAATTGTGGTACAACAGTAAAATGAAATATTATGCAACCATTAAAATGTACATGGAAAATGCTTAAAAGCATAGAGAAATCCCTGTAATAATGTTAATGGGTAAAAAGCAGGAATCAAAAGTATATACAATATTCCCCCAAACATGTCTTAAATATATATACATATATATATTGAGAGAGAGAGAGAGAGAGAGGAAATTGAAGATTAACATGTCAAAATATTAAGCGTTAACCCTGAGTGGTAGAATTATACTTCAAAAATTTTCTACAACCTTCACATTTGTGGAGAAACTTTTTTAAAATTATTCCATTGTAGATCAAGTGAATAACTACAGGTTTTCAATTTGTTTTCTTTCAGAAGCCACACTTTTCAGAAGTCATTTCTGTCACACAATTTGACATATTAACGTAAAAAGGATGTGTCTTGACTCATGATTTAACTACTTACATAAAAGCACATATTTTAATAAAATATTTTTAAATCACTCAGTACTAAAAACTTATATTTATCTTATTTATAGATGAATTGCCAAATAAAAATATAGCCTATGTATACTAAGGAGCTCTGGCAGCATAGTGCCTAAGGCACTTGACTGCTAACCAGAAAGCTGGAGGTTGAAACCCACCAGCCACTTCTCAGAAGGAAGATGGGGCAATCTACTTCCGTAGTGATACCGCCTCGGAAACCCAAGGAGGGGTCACTATGAGTCGGGCAGACTAGACGGCACATAACAACAACAACAACAATGTATACTAAGAAACACAACCAACAACAATTACAATAAAATTTCAAAGGTGTATTTTTAGTACATTGTGAAATAGTGTGTATGGCCATGTGCCAAAATACACATATTTAATCAGAAGCTTCCACAAAATTTCAATAGGTGGGACACCATTCAAGTAAAGACCCACCACATATTTAAATCCTTAACTTACTATGAGCCAACAGTGCTTTAAAATACAAGTTAGGCTTTTAGGCAATGGAACTGAAAGTTCAAAGTTTAAACCTTAAATAAAAACTTGAAATACTTTTGAGAAAAAGGGCAGCATTAACCATTGTCTTACCGAAGACAGTTCATCGCATCCCAGTAACGTGTAATAATCTTCAGTATCTTCCAAACGGTAATTCAGTATTGCGTCCATTTAGACTAGTAACTCAGTTTTTCTTTCCTCTGAAACAAGAGGCACAATAAACTGCGAATTAACAACAACAACAAAAAAAAAAAAGCCTTTTTAAATCTGATTGCACGCTCAGCAGCACGTCCCAAACTGCAATAAGTAGATTCAAAGCAGGTCACAGTCAATACACCCAGACGTCATCCTAGACCTTTGTAAACGTTACCTTTCATTGGTTGTTTAGAAAGGCGAAAAGAATAGCTCACGTGCCTAACTTGCAGCGCTACCTGGGATCTGTAGTTTGCGTTTACCTAAAAAATGCCATTTCTCTTAGGAGATAATAAAGAATGAGTATTTTTATAAGCTCCTCAAGTTAACTGCCTGCCTTTTTCTTAAGAGATAGGAGAAAAACGGAAAAATGTTCAGGTTTGTGAAATATGACTAGTGGTTGCTTTTATGAGTATCAAAAATATTTCAAGATTTTTAAAATACTTTAAGAGTAGAAAGAAAGACTGGGATAGCAAATTATTCTTTCGTTTCATAATTTATTCATTCAACAAACAAGCACTGTTGTAAGGAAAGGCATGATAAACAAGACAAAGTTCTGGTTCTTATGGAGCTTACATTTTTTATGGCGAAGATGACAAGAAACATGCAAATAACAGGAGCATTTAAAGCAGTGATTTGTGATTCAAAAGAATCGCTATGCTGTTTCTGCTGGGCTTGCTCTCTCCACCTTCAGGTGTGTGGTCTGAGCCTTCGACAAAGGTCATTTCACTGTGGCCCTAGGAAACGCATCTCAGTTCTGTGATTTAGAGATGGTAAGTGATCAGGAATACAGTAACTGCTTACACTCTAAATGAGGAGCCCTGATGGTTAAGTTGGAGCCCTGGTGGTACAGTGGTTAAAGCATTACTTAAAGCTAACCAAAACATTGAGCATTTGAACCCATCAGCTGCTCCATGGAAAAAAGATATGGCAGTCAGCTCCTGTAAAGATTTACAGCCTTTAGTCAAACAGCCTGGTATTGGTACATGGACAGACACAAAGACCAGTGGAACAGAACTGAGAATCCAGAAATAGATCCATCCACCTATTGGCAGCTGATCTTTGACAAAGGGGAAGAGATAGTCTCTTTAACTAAGCGTGTTGGCAAAACTCATTATCCAAATGCAGAGAAATGAATGAAGATCCATACCTCAAACCATACACAAAAATTAACTCCAGATGGATCAAAGACTTAAATGTGAAATCTAAAACTAAAAAGTTCATCAAGGAAAAAATAGGGGCAAATTTAAGGGCCCCAATTTATGTCATAAATAGACTATCAAGCATAACTCAAAATGTACAAACAGCAGAAGATAAACTAGATGGTTGTTTAAAAAATTAAAGCTTTATGTTCATCAAAAGACTTCTCCAAAAGAGTAAAAAGAGAACTTACAGATTGGGAAAAAATATTCAGCAACAACACATCTGACAAGGAACTTATCTCTAAAATTTATAGAACACTCCAACACCTCAACATCAAAATGAAAAGCAATCCAATTTAAAAAATGAGCAGAAGACATGAATAGACACTTCACCAAAGAAGATATTCAGGGAGCCAACTAACAAATGAAGAAATGTTCACAATCTTTAGCTATTAGAGAGATGCAAATCAAAACAACAATGACATACCATCTCACCCCAGCACTAATAGCAAAGTTCAACACAGAGAATTACAAATGCTGTCGAAGATGTGGAGAGATTAGGACTCTCACACACTGCTGGTAGAACTGTAAACTGATACAACCACTGTGGAAATCGGTATAGGGACTCCTTAAAAAGTTGGAAATAGAAATACCATTTGATCCAGCCATCCTGTTACTAGGTATATGTCCTAAAGAAGTGAGAGCCACGACATGAACTGATATACACACACCCACATTCATCACAGCACTATTCACAATAGCAAAGAGATGGAAACAATCTAAGTGTCTACCAACAGAAGAATGGATAACCAAATGGTACATATAGACAATGGAATACCAAAGAATAATGTAGACATTATGCTTAGTCTAATGGAGGACATAATTGTTGTTGTTGTTGTTGTTGTTATTTGCCATCGAGTCAGACGGGACTCATAGCGACCCCTCTTGGGTTTCTGAGGCAGTATCGCCAGGAAGTAGATTGCCCCATCTTCCTTCCGAGGAGTGGCTGGTGGGCTTGAACCGCCAGGCTTCTGGTTAGCAGTCAAGTGCCTTAGGCACTAAGCTACCAGAGCTCCCAAGGAGGACATTATGCTGAGTGAAATAAGTCAATCACAGGAGAACAAATACTGTATTAGTTCACTATTGTAAAAAGTCAAGGAAAGGCTTATATATGGAAGAAAACTTTCTTTGTTAATTACCAGGAATGGGAGGGGAAAGGAGGGGACACTGTTAGACAGGTAGAGATAAATACTGATTTAGGTGAAGGGAAAGGCAATATACCAAAAGCAAGTGACCAACACAATAACACTAAAGAAAAGGAAGACACAGAGAGGTGCACAAGACGTACAGAAAACAAAAATAAACCCTTTTACATATATAATACTGCATTCAGTGATAACAAATATTAAACTATGGGTAAATAGATGGGTAGACAGGCTGAATGATCAGGTATGTCTAGGCAAAAGAGAATATACCCATGACCATATATAAGGTTGGCTGATGATGTTTCTGCACATGTATTTGTGTATACTATAAGAACATCTACATAACTAGGACTAACTAGGGGCAGAATTATGATAACTTCTTAGGCACAGCCAACCACCCTAAGGATGCGAGTAGTTGGACCTGTGGGCTTCGGACCATGGTCACAGAGGACATCCAGCTCAACTGACATAACAAACACAAAAACATTGTTCTACATCCTACTTGGTGAGTAGTGACTGAGGTCTTAAAAGCTTGCAGGCAGGCATCGTGAATCAGCAATGGGTCTCTCCTGGTCCAGAGCGAGGAAGAATGAAGAAAACCAAAGATACATGGAAACAATTAGTCCAAGGGACTGGTGGACCAGGCAAACCTCAGCATATATGACCATGAGACCAGAAAGAACTAGGTGGTGCCTGGCTACCACTGTCAACCACTCAGAAAAGGATCAGTGCAGGAGAGCCTGCATAGAGTGGGGAGAAAAATGTGGAATAAAACTCAAAATCATTTAAAAAAAAAAAGAGACCAGATTTACTGGTCTAATAGAGCCTGTGAGATGCCCCAAACTATGGGCCCTAGTTACCCTTCAGGCCTGGAATTGAATTCATTCACTCCCGTGGCTTCTACCCAAAGAATAAACAAGCATATAGGGTGACATGTACATCAGGTAGACACACTCCTTAGAACAATTGATCATAGGAGAACAGAAGGGCAGTATTTGCACAGGGAGTTAGCTCAGGGGCAGGAAAGTGTAGGAAAGAAGGACACAGGGAAGAGGTAACTACAGGGAGGGAGTGGGAAGAGAGCTGTTACACTGTAAGGAATTGCAGTCAAAGTCATGAAACAAAATGTATATGAATTGCTGTATGGAAAATGAATTTGCTGTGTAAACTTTCACCCAAATCACAATAAAAAATTAAACCTATGGGGTTTAATTGGAAACCGTATGGGGCAATTCTACTTTATCCTATAGGGTCACTATGAGCCTACCTATATACAACTTTAATTAGGGCTTTGTTTTGGTGATCTAGTGCTGCTCTAATGGAAAACACCACAAATGAGTAGCTTGAACAGTTTATTCTCTTACAGGTTAGGAAGCTAGAAGTCCGAGTTCAAAGTGCCAGCTCTCAGGGCTGGGTGAAGGCCCCTCAACCTTGGGCTTCAGCTCTGCTTCTTACTCCCTGCCACTGAAGCTGGAAGCTTCTCTTAACTCAGACAGCTGCTGGCTGCTGAGGCTAACAAGCCCAAGGTCAACAGATAAATTGGCATAGTCTCAAGATTACCAAACAACATGGCAGGCCACTAGTTCAAGTGAGAGACAGTTGCAAAATTGGCAGGAAATATGGCAGGCTGCTGAATGAAGATCCAGGAAAGGGAGGAAGCAGGAGAGACTGGGAACCTCTGGAGCAGAGACTGGAGACCTCCAGGTAAAAGGGGCAGGAGGCAAGGCTAGGCCCCAAACCCCCTAGAGCCAGGAAAGGGAGGGAGTAGGAGAGGCCGGGGACCTGCTGAATGGCAGGATATCCAGGTAAAAAGGGGCGGAGGCAAGACTAGGCCCCAAGCCCCCTAAAGCCAGGAAAGTGAGGGAGCACCAGGGACCACAAAGTGTCAGGGTCTAGGTAGGAATTAGGTAAGAGAAGGGCACAGAGGTTTCCAACAGCTTAGGGAGACAAATTTTCTGTCAGTTTGTCATCCTGTGGGGCTTGTACATTGCTGTACAAGGCTTGAGGCTGTGCCACTGGTGTTTCAGATGCCAGCAGAGTTGCACATGGTGCACAGGTTTCAATGCAGTTTACAGACTAAGACAGACTAGGAAGAAGGAGGAGGCCATCCCCTTCTCAAAAATTGGTCAGAGAAAACCTTATGAATAGCAGAGAAACACTGTCTGATACATTACTGGGCAACTTTATGAATAACTTGGAAGCATTGTCCAGCACAGTGCAGGAAGAGGAGCCCCTTGGGTTGGAAGGCACTCGAAATAGGACTGGGAAAGATCTGCCTCATTAGAGTAGAACCAACCTTAATGATATGGATAAAGTAAGTCTTTCAGGACCTCCATGTGCTGACATGGCACAACTCAAATTGAGGAGAAACAGCTGCAAACATCCATTAATAATCAGAAGATGGAATGTACGAAGTATGACTTTAGGAAAATTGGAAGTTGTCAAAAATGAGAATGCATGAAGATTGATATCCTAGGCATTAGGGAGCTGGAATGGACGGGTTTTGGGCATTTTGAACCATAAGATCTACTATGCCAAGAATGACAAATTGAAGAGGAATGGTGCGGCATTCATCATCACAAAGGATGTTTCAAGATCTGTCCTGAAGAACAATGCTGTCAGTGATATGATA